ACGAAATAAAATATCATTTTCCTTCTATTCATTTTCATATAGATTTTCATATAAACATCACTTTACTAATACTAAGATAGATTCACCAACGGAATAAAGATAAAACACGAAGAAAGCCGCACCCATGGCGCTCAACTCACAACTTCGTATATCGGAGGCTGGTGGTTTAAAAATTTTTTCGCTGCGCCATCACCTTTCATTGATTGTATTCATCGGCAAGCAGATGTCACGGACTTTTTCATCGTTTTAAAGACTATAGTCTCCGTTTATAATGCTGCGCTGACAGTACAACACGATAAGGTGTACAATGCAAGCGACGGGCACCTGCCCGTCGCTTTGCATTTTACACCTTATCGCCTCCGAGACACTTCCTTCGTTTTCGAAGATAACTGCTAGATAGCGCTCGTGTCTAACGGGCCTCGATGTGCTCGTTCGCTTTCGCTGCACGGACCGATACTCGCTAACGCAGCACTTCTAGCATACAATTCACAGATTTTCTCACTCAGAACATCAAATAAACGTTTTGTTCACTCTCTCCACACGAAGAACTATCGTCTTTCGACGACATTTGCAATGAAACATGCAGGTACGGGGCCTTTTTTTTTCATCATTTTTTTTTCATCATCTTTCTTTTGCCTCGATGCGTGCCGCGAAAAAGGCCTTGCGTTAGAAGTAATGTCGCTTGTGGGTTCAGCGCTGTGTGTGTACACGTCTTTCTTCTTAAGTGTTTCTTTATATTCTAATCGTGAAACATCTTCCCCAAGCAGCAGTTTTAGCATTTAAGTGCTATACCGTTTCATATACCGTTTCACACTCTGCCAAAAGCGGTTTACTCACCAAGAATTTCGTTTATTTTAAAAGAGAATTGAGAGTGCAATTGAAGATTGCAGCGGTGCCGCCACAGCTACAACCCTTGAATTTGGGACCTGGTGTGGCTTTACAGAGTCATGCTTACCCCTGAGGGCGTCGCTGTCGCTGACGGTCCTCTGGAAGACCTCGTAGACGCCCTCGATGCGTTCCAGCTGCTCGCGCTCGGCAGGCGTACACCGACCTTGCTCTCCAGGACGTATCTTGCATGGGGAGTATGACACTGGGTACTTGCTGCGTGCCACAATAGAGTCAATGTTCTCCTTTGTGAAGGCTTTACTACTAGGACACTGGACTCGTAGAAACGTTCTTTCACTCCTCCTGAACGATTATGTGTCTGTCCTCTTGAAAGTCATTATGTATAATGAAACCTTAATTCCTTTATTGTGGCAAATGATTTTTTTTATTACTTCTCTTGTACATTTTCCCTGTTGAGACCTTTTCTGACCTGTAATCCCAATTATGCAATAACTCTTTGACAGGGCTGCAGTATGTAAAAATAAAATTAAATAAGAATAAAACTATAACATCTTCGCGTAGTAAAATGTACTTCCGAAACATTGTTCTCTTGGCAAGAATCACTGAATACAAGATATTTATAGTCTAATGCTCTCAATATTCGATACACTTCGTTGTACAGGCCACGTAGTTGTAGAGGTCGCGCATCGTTATGCTGTCAGCGTGTATATGGAATGCAAAGATGCATTTGTATACTAATTATTTCGTTGCAGAGCCAGCTGGCTGTAATAGTAATAGAACCTAATGCTTGCGTTCGTTTTTTTGTTATTATTAGCACCGATGCATTATCGCTTGTCCGTCCAAGTCGCATGATTGTTTTCCATTTATTATCACACAAAATATTTTTAACATATTAAATTCATTTGCTGTCGTGTGTCGGTTCTGACACGCAAAATATCACACTAGAATTTCGTTTTAAATTGTCAAGTACCTGCACGGTTTTCCTTCATTCTAGTCCCTATGTTTATCTTCATCATGAAATATTTCTTTTTTTTTTCATTGAACAAAACCTAAATGCACTCTTTTCTGTCCTTATTTATTTGCTTCTGTAGTTACACTGTAACTACTTTTAAGTTGCGCTGTTCATATATTCAGGTTAACTATAGCAGTTGTGTGCCACAGAAATTAAACAAGTCTCACTGCTTGCTATTAGTTTACTAAAAATGAAGGGAACACACTAATATGATTGATTGTGTGTAAAGTCTCAAAACCGTGGTAATGAGGGACGCCGCAGTGGAGGGCTTTGAAAATTTCGACCACCTGGAGTTCTTTAACGTGCACCTACATCTGAGTACACAAGCCTCGCGCATTTTCGCCTTCATTGAAAATGCGGTCGCCGCATTCGAGATTCGATACCGAGACCTGCAGGTCAGCACTCGAGCGCCATAACCACTAGATGGCCGCGGTGGGTGAAGAGAATGCACTTACAGCAAACACCGATTAAGATTTCTCGGCTGACGTGAAAACTATTTGAAACACAGTGTGATGAACCGTGAGATTAACCCAGTCATCGACATCTTAAGTCAGCGCACACACATGAACACAAGTCTTAAGGTCAGTCGGAAGGAAAATTTACCAACTCGCCCAGATAGCCACCTTAGACCAAACGCCGGGATCACATGCTCCAGCTTTGCTGGCTAACCAAACACAGTGTTTGGGTGGTGATTTTATTTCTGTACTGCTTTTTTTGTGTTTCCCTTTCCATAAAACTGACCGGGACTGAGCAGCCAGTTGTTCGATTCGCAATGATCCAAGTCATAGCATTCTTAGAGAACAAAACTCCACGAAGGCAACCCTGATGGTATGCGAAGCAGCAGCGGTGCGCACGGCGTTGACTTGGTTGAAACGGACGTCGACGCGGGGGCTCAAAAAACGTTTTGAAGCGAAACGTGGTGCAGCGTTTACCGTAGTAAACGTTTGTTTGAAACGCAAAGACACGGAAGGAGGAACGCTTTAAAGACGCTTGCGCTTGGCTTCCTCGGCTGCTCAATACGCAAGGCTCGCGACCATTAGCGCAGGTCGCCACATTTTATCGTCTACCCGAATTAACTTCACCTCACTCACCAATGCTAAATACAACATTCCCCAAAACATACATAAACAATTACTCATACCGCCCCTTCCTTAAAACACGCATCCAACATATCATACTAAGCGCCGAATCCAAAGAGCGAAAGCTCTTCAGAAAAAATTGCATGGAGCCAATGACGTGCTCTATGTAGATGCGGCAGAACACCCATCCTCCTCATCCTATGCCCTCTCTGCTGTCGACTATAACGGCAAGGTGCTCACAACGGCATCCGTCACTGTCAACTCTTCGGAGGAGGCAAAGGAGGCTGCCATCGCTTTAAGTCTATCCATCCCCAATATCACTATGATTGTAAGTGACTCCAAAACTGCCATACGCAACTTCAGCGCAGGTCGCATCTCATCAACTGCCCTTTCAATTCTTAAGAAACATCCTCCCACGCAAGATGTTGCTCTCATATGGACGCCCGCGCATGCGGGGTTGAGTGACAATGAGGCGGCTCATACCTGTCCTCGAGGATTGACCGGCCGAGCGCAGGCCTCTGATGGCGCTTTAGACCACGCGGCCTTTTTCAGCGCGAGAGATCGTCTTTTGACCTTCCACGATATAACAAATCACTACCACCTACAGCGCACTATATACCTTCCCCTTACATCATGGAGCTTCACGCTATCATGAAATACTAAGGCGCCAGTTACAGACCCGTACGTTTCCTACCCCATCTTTTCGCCATCTTATACACCTTGCGACATACCCCTCCCCTTTGTGAATTTTCTGTCAACAAAGAACTAACCTAGACCATATCATGTGGTGGTGTACTCGAAACCCACCACCCAATTCTCTACACATTTATAGTAAGGAGCAGTGGGAGGCTGCTATGCGCAGCTCGGCGCCCGAGGTCCAGGACCAGATCTTGGATTGGGCCAAGAGGGTAGCGGAGACTTACGCTGGAAGGCTCCTCTGACAATCCACCACCGCACCTTTCCCTCTTGGGATGAATAAAGTTTTTCTCCTCCTCCTTCCTCGGCTCGCGTCTCGTTGGTGTTACTCGCGCGCCTTCTCCATTCTCGAACGCAATCAGTGTTCTTGGCACCCCGTCGGTGTCGTTGGTCTTCCACTGCCGACGCTTGCGTTCGGCTTCTCTGGATCGTGCCTCGTCGGTGTTCCAGGCTCGACGTCACCATTCGCGAACCTGATCGCTAACCCGCAACGGCGGCGATGGTTGGGAAAAGTACGCGCACAATAGTGGGAAGCATGCCCCGGCGGCGTCTCGCCCGTCGGCGTGATCGCGCGGCAAGCAGCGGGTGCGCTGTCCACATTGCCGGCGCCGCGGTACCACGACTGGGCTAGACGAAGGCGTGCCTACTCGCGGCTTCTTGCCGACAGATGAAGAGAGGCACGTAGAGGGGGTGAGGAGACGATGCCGACGTGAGGAGGGGGCTCCAGCGTTGCGAGCGGGGGAGAGCGGTGGAGAGGGTGAAGCGAGAGAGATGACATGGGGCCACAGGCTAGGGAGAGAGTGACGTCCCGCGCGCACACTGCGAGGGAAGGCGTATCCTACTTGGCACCACCCCCGTGCGGAGGGACAGGGTTACACAGGCTAGTCAAAGAGCTGCTTCCCATCTAATACACAACCAGCACAAAATCAGTCAACACCATGTGGCGGGCGCAGATATGACGCCTCATAACCCTCACAAGCAAAGCATATGAAGTTCTTCGATAGTCCGTCTTAAGCATTCTCTATAATACGAACTACCAAGGTCATAGCCGGAGAGGTATTTGGAAAATTAACCCTCTCTCCCCGAAAAAATATTTTTTACTATGCTGCTGCAAACTTCATGTGGTCAAGACAGTGCTCACTATGCAAATGATAAAATAACTCGGAAGCGTCAAGAAGGGATATAAACAAAAAGAGATTACGTTCGAAAAATACTATGCTCACTGACAGGCAAAGGCATGTAATAATAATTTTGGTGCTTACTCAAACTGCAGTTACCCAGCTATCGCTATTCGCACACGTCAGGTTCACATCACAATAACTGGGCGCCGATTGACCTATGGCATGGACAGACGACACTTACCTGGCGAACGTCCTGAGAGCTGCGTCCAGCTCGGTCCCGTACTTCGCGGCCAGCTTGTCCAGTTCTGTCTCGATGGTGCTCAGCAGGCCACCGTAGCATCGCAGCACAGGCACCGGGTCGCACTCCTGCTGTTGGCACAGCGCTGCAAATGACAGACAACGTGTTTAACAACGATGCCAATTTGAGGCTCATGTACTTAGATTTATAGTGGACGTTAAGCAGCTCCAGGTGGCTGAAATTTGCGGAGCCCTCCAGTACGGCGTCACTCACAATCATACCGTGGTTTTGGAACGTTAACCCCACATATTAATATTAACAACGATCACAATGAGATGAAAGAAGTGGTATGGAAATTGAAGAAAAAAACCTGGTTTGCTACCCTGTACTCGGGAATGTGGTATAGGGACTAGCCACATAAGAATGAAGATAAGGTCAACGAATCAATTGGGATATCAAAGCCCAAACCAAAATGTGATCATGAGGCACGCCTTAATAAATTAGTCCAAAATCTCTTAAGGAATTCTGGATTAATTTTGTTTGACTGCACGTTGTGTTTTAACATGCAGTCAAATTTGGAGTGCACTCTTTCCATTAACGTAAAAAAGTGCACCCGTAATTTCAGGTATTCACTAACCTGAGCTCTTCCCGCAAGACAGCGCCATGCGAGGGCGCCGCCATATCCATGGCACGTCAGCCATCCTGCATATGACAGCCTGAGGAGCTACGTCACCAACTGGTTTTCTTAGAAGAATATGTGCACAACAGGTTCTGCCGAGAACTACGGCTATGGTGCAATAATGATGTTTGCGCACGAGACCACAAGTATGGCGGCTGCTGCGCTAGCACCCATTGCGGTTGACGTCACGTCAATACGTTGTAAACGTAAATGTGAAACCTAAAATAGAACTACATGGCATTTCGGCAAACAGGAACTGGTATAGTTGTATACAGGATTAAAGGGGGGGGGGGAAAGGAGTGAATTTCAATGCTGCCCATCACCCTTCTATTCCAGTGGCCGACTTAAGCAAAGCCGTGTTCGCCATGATTGCAAAAATGAAGAGATGGCGTGCTTCCAACTGGCTGCCAGCTTTCCGAGTGAGAACGGGTCAAGCAAAAACAGTTCCTCGAATGCAAAATGAACAGCCCTCGGCCACCATTATGGTCAAGTGTGTGCTGCAAGCAAGCCCTACGAACAATAGATAGCACACACGCAAAACTATGCGTTAGTGTTTCACGCCTCTGAGAATGTGCCGTACGCAAACCTCTTGTGGGCTCCCGTTAAGTAACGCAAACAGCGGGTGACCGCAACGAACGCTAACTTGCCGTGCGTTGTTATAAAACTCCCAAATAGATACATTTCGTGAAGCGTCCGCAACAGTTTGAGTACGCAGCCTGTCATTGGAAGTGGATGGCATTAATCCAGCTTAATTCATTAACTCAACTTGATCTCTCTGCTGACGGTAAGAATAGTCGAGCCTTGGGAAAGTAAAGCATCGGCCTTTGCAGTATTCAGACGAACAACTCCTAGAGTACTTGAGAGATGTTGGGGTTATATCGGCGCAGCGACGAATAAAATATTACCACCAGGAAGATGGAGCAGTAACGTTGCGTCCACTTAACTCAGTGATCATGGCTTTTCGAGATGACCGCTCTATTCCAGGAAAATTCATTTTTCACCAGTCACCCAGTGGAAACATATCTCGGTCCAGCACTTCGGTGCTAGAACTGCCAGTGATTCAGACACATGGCGAAAAGTTGCCGTAACACACGCCAGTGTAAGATTCGCTCAGGAGAACACCACCATATGGAGTGCAATTCAGTTCTTCAGCCTAAGTGTGCAAACTGTGCAGGTAATCTCGCTGCCTCATATTCAGGCTGCCGGAAAAGCAAAGCTGCTGCAAAAATGCATCGGCATGAGCTTATCTATAGAAGAAAACTGTGCCCCAATGAACCCTCCCCAAACCTTTAGATTGTTCATCCTGTACGTGATCTACCTCAGCGCAGACCGCAACAACAACAGCCGACAAACACGCCAAGAGAACTGCCAAGAGCACACCCGAGAGATCACTCATGAGAAATACATTCAAGTACACCAACCTACGCGTCAAAGCTGAGAACGCCCACGCGACCTCAGCCGGAAAGTATACCAGAACCGACAGCGCCATTGTTCACCCCAGCTACAACATCGAAACGTCACGTCGTTCTCAACAGGCCTCAGAAACTGAGCCATTCAAGGAAGGACTGTGCCTTTGCATTAGTTATACAATTGATTCTACCAATGCTTTTCGCAGCACTTAAAGCGATCTTGTCTGCTCTACCTGAAGCAAAGAACCTGCCAGAAGTAAAAGCCCTGCTGCCTCTGGAAGCACTATTGCGTCAACAATTCGTGTCAAACCTGTGACAAGTAACATATGAATAAGCGCTGTAAAAATGTCTCCATATACCAGTGGAATTCCAACAGTCTTCTAAGGAAGTTTACTGACTTCCGTAAACTCCTTTTGCAATATGACTTTCCAACACTTTGCATCCAAGACGCAGGAAGGAATGATGATTTCTGCCTCTCTAACTACGTGATATATAAGTAATCTCGTCGAAGTGGTCCTATCAGAGTGTATCTGTGCGTCAGAAAGGACCTACCTTCTCACCAAGTTCACTGAAGTGATTCGGACATCCCGCAATTCATCGCTTGCAAAGTATCATTTGTTCAGCAGTGCATAACAGTTATCAATTTTTACTTACAACCTTCAAGCCGCATTTTGGTGGAAGAGCTAACAAATATCTTCAATATTTCCGATTCATATGCATTTATATGTGGAGACTTTAATGCGCACAACCTAATCTGAGGTAGTGATCGATGGTATGCACGTGGGAACGTTGTTGAGTGTGCCGCAGACAAATGCAATTTGACAATTTTAATACAACACCACGCTGATACAAGCAGAGACCATAGATGACCAACTAACCTGAGCTATGACACATCTGAATTTCGTATGGCAATGTTCTAGGATATCATATTCATCCCCTCCCTCACCCCTGCTACAATCAATTTCACTGTCTCGGGCATGGCGGGAAGAAGTTTCCTGACTGTGGCGGCAAGCTGAGGTGTGTTTGGGACTCCTGGTATACAGGTAGAACTACGCAATAGATGCTTGTGTTCTTGTAGCTTCCTTCACTTGGCGACATCGGTTTTTCTTGGCCATGTGTTGGATGCCGCATAGTCGAGTCACTTGCGCAGCAAGGTATGGTTTCTTAGCCTTTACTATTGCGAAATAGCGTGGCTGACAGGCGGAAAGACGCGTAAACATGTCGGGCGAAGGTGATCAGAGAAATAAATTTGTTCTCTAAGAGACAGGTGTGCCTTTCGCAATGGGTTACGCGAATGGGGAGCCGCAAGTGAGAACAAAAAAAAAATACGTTACACGAATGTAGTATTTTGGAAACGCCTGCCCAATGCATGCAATCTTTTTTTCTCTAACTTTAATGATGCTTTCAACGTCCATTCATCATTCGGTATGCGTGAGATCGTGTCCTTGGGATGTTCAACTCTTTCATTAGAAGTTTGTCATCAATGTTCACGACTGTCGAAAGTGCATCCGAATGAACACGTAGGCCGGCGTACCTGCGTTGGCAGTGGAGAAAATGTTATATTTGCGTGACCACCGTGGTTGCAGCGTGGGTCTGGGTGATCTTTCTATATTGCTTTCTCCTGATTACGCCTCTTGACCATTCTCAGAGATGAATTCCGCGCAGGTTATATGCTGCTGTGCGGTTGTGAGAAATCATGAAAAATGAGAAAAACTGCCCGAGTTTTGTGTGGACACACACACACACACACACACACACACACACACACACACACACACACACACACACACACACACACACACACACACACACACACACACACACACACACACACACACACACACACACACACACACACACACACACACGTACCTATCGCAAAACTGAGTCAAGAAGTGGCGTTCAGGGCAAAAGGACGTAGCAGGGCAGGAAACTTGGCAGTTATTTTAGTGAATATTTGTGCAATTTTTTGTTTAAAAAGGAGCCTATGTATAAAAGGAGCCTTTAATGATATAAATAAATTTTCCATACTCTGAGAGGGCCTTTTTATTTTTTTCTCAAAAACTTTTCCCTGCTCTTTTTGACAAAACCTAACAGATGCGCACAACTTGTTTCAAGAACTCGCTCTCGTCTTCTCGTGGTCGTGCAGTTTTTTTTTGTGCTGACTAATTCTTTCAATCTAGCTGCGGTCCTATCACACATCGTGCACGGTGCCACTAAAGCACCACTGTCCATATTTGAATTTTCTTGTTGCAGGTACACCTATGCTAGAGTATACTTATGCTAGAGTTTGCTTTTGAAGTCTTGCTAAGGGCCGAGAATATAGTGGATGTTGGTGACCATAGAAGGCGTTTGTGTATATCGCCATTTACCCTCACGACCGTTTTGCAATTGGCGCACGCGAAAATAACAAGAAAGAGAATCATGAAAAAAGAAATGAATGGCAGAATCTATGTCGTGGCGTTCTTGTAAACATCACGTATAGGGTGGCTACTGCTCCTTGCTGACTGTCCCCTACGTCAAGCCTGCCAAGGGACCGTAAGGAAACAAAAAAAAGGTAACAAAAAGAAATACCCGCTACCGCAGTCAACGCAATTGTCCCAACACAATCGTCTGCGTCATCGGCACCCTCCTTTTGTCTCTGTTTACCACTTGGTCGTGACCATCGAACACAAGTGAATCCGCCCGTGTTGGCTTTCCCCTTCGACTAATTTACGGTGTCCCACCGTCACCACCGCCAATTGTAAATGCGTGCATTTTCTACAGCTTCTGAGCATGCGCAGATATCGACTCACACAAAATGAGAGGAAAAAAAAAAAAGGCAGAGTTCTAAGAGGTAGGAGGAAAGCATGACCTTCGAAACGGCTGCACCTGAGTCGCATGCTAATTGCTCGTTTTGCGGTCAGAGAAATGGGTGCGGCCACCGGGCTTCTTTCCTTTCTTCAGCCGGCATCGCCAGTGGGACGACCGTGCAACTCCGTTTTTTTTTTTTTTTTTAGGCGCTGGGTGATGGAAGACCGCGGGCGAACGGTTGCGACAGACCAGCATTCCGAGGTG